CCCCATCGAAATGGCAAACGCTGCAAGATCCCAAAGGCACGCAAGTGAAACGGGAAACGAAAACAAAAGACCTGAAAGCTAATTTCAGGACTTGTATGCAATAGAAAAATAATTCTTTCGCGGTTAAATGCGAAACAAATTGATGGATTAAAATGAAAGTTTCAAACATACCTAGAGTTAATGAGCTGGAAATATTGCAGCCCCTGCGTTCATGCATCGAGTCATCATTTTCTAGTTTTTAATTTTGCATACAGGTTAAAATTCCACAAGATTAAAGATAATTCAAACGTGGGAGGATGTTTATCTAAAATTGTCATCTTTACTCTTGAACTGGGTCAAAGTAAAAATACATAATTAAAAAAGAGAAACGCAGTAGGATATGTGACCTTAAAGTTCGTTATCGTCTTTTGCTAAAACTCGCCTAGACACGATGATAAGCCCCTAAGCGTTGCTATTTCCCTTTTCCTGCTGGAGTGGCTTTCTTAATTTGCCCGCCTTATAAGTTTTCGCTTTAAGCGGATATAATTTGACTCTCTGGCGCTTTTGAAAATAACTTTTCCGAATATGAGGCAAGATATTATAATTAATGACATCTTACATTAATTAATTGCTCAAAGATTTTTTAAGAAATAAATTGTCGTTATACTTACAGACCGGTTTTGACTTTAGTAAATTTATTTCAATTAAAATTTCTTGTCGAACTTATTTTTGTAATAATAATCATCGCCTCCATTTATAAAATTGAAAATATAAAATGAATACATTATAATTTTATATTATATAAATATTTATCAATCGTCATCATAATGAATAATAATGGTAATCAAAAATTGCAATAATTATCGGCATTATTATACGATGAAATAATTTCGTTTAATCCGCGTTTCTCTGACGAGGCGTGAAATATTTAAATTAAATATTATTCGACTTGAACTTATGCATCGGTGAACGTTTGTAAATTGCCAATTTGTATTAGTATTTTTTTTTTTTGAGCCCAATCGATTCATGGTAAACTGGTACCTATAGTTTTTGCACCTTGCCAATATGAAGTAAAGTAAAACTATAAAAAATCATTATATTCTAATGTATATTTATATGTTTTTGATGGAAATTAAATGCTCTTTAAGATAAACTAAAATTGAATCAATTATCTCAAATAGTTTCCGAGATGTTGGGCCTCAAAGATGAAAGTTAATCAACTTTTTTATTTTTGAATGTGATATTGTAAGAAAATTTTTTTCTCGGTTTTTCAAATTTTTAACATCACCAATCGAAAGAGGGGGTCAAATTTAGTAGAAAAGTATTTTCGTGAATTTTGTTTTTGAGGTTTTAGGGCTTGCAAAAAATTTAAAATGATTTTGAAAGATATTTTTGGCCTTAAAAAATTTTAATATTCTGATGTTGCCTTATAAAATCGCCCATTACTCAATTAATATTTCACAAATTCTAATGTAAATGTATATATTCTTAATCAGAATTGAATGCTTTTTAGGATAAAATAAGATTGAATCATTTATCTCAAACAGTTCTCAGAATATTGAGCCTCAAAGTTGAAACTGTCTAAAATTTTGAAAAAATATTCACAGCCGATTATCTCAAAAACGAAGCCCTTGGGCACAGTGTTTCAATGAGGCTTTTTTGAAGCCCCAAGCAAGATATATAATTGAAAAAAGTTTCCTGTCAATAGCTATTCTGGTTTACAAAATATGGCTCTTTGAATTATTTGAAAATGGAATTTCCTTGCATATCCCTTTAGAAAAATTTGAATATTGATTTTTCTGGATTTTTCAATTTTTGACTTTACTAATCGAAAGAGGAGGTCAAATTTAGTGGAAAAGTATTTACGTGAATTTTGTTTTTGAGATTTTAAGGCCTGTAAAAAATTAAAAATGATTTTGATTAAAAAGGCCCTGAAAAATTTAAATATTCTGACATGCCTTACAAAATCGCCCATTACTCAATTAATATTTCACAAATTCTAATGTGAATGTGTATTTTCTTAATTAGAATTAAATGCTCTTTAAGATAAAATAAGATTCAACTATTTATCTCAAATGGTTCTCAAGATATTGAGCCTCAAAGTTGAAACTTTGTCTAAAATTTTGGAAAACCTTCACAGCCGATTATCTCGAAAACGAAACCCTTAGACTCGGTATCTCAATAAGGTTTTTTTGAAGCCCCAATAAAGATCTACCATTGGACAAAATTTCGTATGGATAGTTTTTCTGGTTCCCAAAACATGGCCCTTTAAAATATTTGAAAATAGAATTTCCTTGCATATCACTTTAGAAAAATTCGAATTTTAGTTTTTTGAGATTTTGCAATTTTTGACTTTATGAATCGAAAGTAGAAATCAAATTTAGTAGATAAGCATTTTTGTGAATTTTATTTTTGAAGTTTTAAGGCCTCTAAAAAATTAAAAATGATTTTGGTATTTTTGGCTCTGTAAAATTTGAATATTCTGACATTGCCTTACAGAATCGCCGATTACTCAATCAATATTTCACAAATTCTAATGTAAATATATCCACTCTTAATCAGAATTGAATGCTCTTTAAGATAAAAAAAGATTCAATCATTTATCTCAAATAGTTCTCAGGATATTGAGCCTCAAACTTGGAACTGTCTAAAATTTTGAATAAATCTTCACAGCCGATTATTTCGAAAACGAAGGCCTTGAGTTCGGTGTCTCAATGAGACTTTTTTGAAGCCCCAATTAAGATCCACTATTGAACAAAATTTCGTATGGATAGTTTTTCTGGTTTCCAAATTATGGCCCTTTAAAATATTTGAAAATGGAATTTCCTTGCATATCACTTTAGAAAAATTCGAATTTTAGTTTTTTGAGATTTTGCAATTTTTGACTTTATGAATCGAAAGTAGAAATCAAATTTAGTAGATAAGCATTTTTGTGAATTTTATTTTTGAAGTTTTAAGGCCTCTAAAAAATTAAAAATGATTTTGGTATTTTTGGCTCTGAAAAATTTGAATATTCTGACATTGCCTTACAGAATCGCCGATTACTCAATCAATATTTCACAAATTCTAATGTAAATATATCCATTCTTAATCAGAATTGAATGCTCTTTAAGATAAAAAAAGATTCAATCATTTATCTCAAATAGTTCTCAGGATATTGAGCCTCAAACTTGGAACTGTCTAAAATTTTGAATAAATCTTCACAGCCGATTATTTCGAAAACGAAGGCCTTGAGTTCGGTGTCTCAATGAGACTTTTTTGAAGCCCCAATTAAGATCCACTATTGAACAAAATTTCGTATGGATAGTTTTTCTGGTTTCCAAATTATGGCCCTTTAAAATATTTGAAAATGGAATTTCCTTGCATACCCCTTTAGAAAAATTTGAATTTTGGTTTTTTGAGATTTTGCAATTTTTGACTTTATGAATCGAAAGTAGAAATCAAATTTAGTAGATAAGCTTTTTTGTGAATTTTATTTTTGAAGTTTTAAGGCCTCTAAAAAATTAAAAATTATTTTGGTATTTTTGGCTCTGAAAAATTTGAATATTCTGACATTGCCTTACAAAATCGCCGATTACTCAATCAATATTTCACAAATTCTAATCTAAATATATATATTCTTAATCAGAATTGAATGCTCTTTGAGATGAAATAAGATTCAATCATTTATCTCTAACAGTTCTTAAAATATTGAGCCTCAAAGTTGAACCTTTGTCTAAAATTTTAAAAAACCTTCACAGCCGATTATCTTTTTGAAGTCCCAATCGAGATCTACAACTGGACGAAGTTTTTGACTTCATCAATCGAAAGAGGGAGTCAAATTTAGTAGAAAAGCATTTACGTGAATTTTGTTTTTGAGGTTTTAGAGCCTGTGAAAAATTTAAACTGATTTTGGTATTTTTGGCCTTGAAAACTTTTAATATTCTGAGATTGCCTTACGAAATCTTCCATTACTTAATTAATAATTCACAAATTGCAATGTAAATGATCCGAATTGAATGCTCTTTAAGATAAAATAAGAATAAATCATTTATCTCAAATAAATCTCAGGATATTGAGCCTTAAAGTTGAAACTGTCTAAAATTTTGAAAAAATATTCACAGCCGATTATCTCGAAAACGAAGCCCTTGGGCTCGGTGTCTCGATGAGACTTTTTTGAAGCCGCCCCAATCAAGATCCACTATTGAACAAAATTTCGTATCGATAGCCTTTCTGGTTTCCAAAATATGGCCCTTCGAAATAACTGGAAATGGAATTTACTTGCATACAACTTTAGAAAAATTTGAATTTTGATTTTTCTAGATTTTTCAATTTTTGATTTTACCAATCGAAAGAGAGGGTCAAATTGAGTAGAAAAACATTTTCATGAATTCTGTTTTTCAGGTTTTAAAGCCTGTAAAAAATTAAAACTGATTTTGGTATTTTTGGCCCTGAAAAATTTTAATATTCTGACATTGCCTCACAAAATCGCCCGTTACTCCATTAATATTTCACAAATTCTAATATAAATATATATATTCTTAAGCAGAATTGAATGCTCTTTAAGATAAAATAAGATTGAATCATTTATCTCAAATAGTTCTCAGGATATTGAGTCTCAAATTTGAAACTGTCTAAAATTTTGAAAAAATCTTCACAGCGGATTATCTCGAAAACGAAACCCTTGAGCTCGGTGTCTCAATAAGACTTTTTTGAAGCCCCAATCGAGATCTACAACTGGATAAAATTACCTGCCGATAGCTTTTCTGGTTTCCAAAACATGGCCCTTTGAAATATTTGAAAATGGAATTTCCTTGCATACCCCTTTAGAAAAATTTGAATTTTGATTTTTTTAGATTTTTCAATTTTTGACTTTACCAATCAGAAAAAGGGGTCAAACTTAGTGGAAAAACATTTTCGTAATATTTTTTATGGGGTATTTAGTGCCAGTAAAAAATTAAAAATGATTTTGGCATTGATCATCCAACACTGCCTCAAAAAATCGTTCATTACTCAATCAATATTTCACAAATTCCAATGCATATTTATATATTCTTAATCAAAATTAAATGCTCTTCGAGATAAAGCATAATTGAATCATGTATCTCAAATAGTTCTCAAGATATTGAGCCTCAAAGTTGAAACTTTGTCTGAAATTCTGGAAAACCTTCACAGCCGATTATCTCAAAAACAAAGCCCTAGGGCTTAGTGCCTTAAATAACATTTTTTTAAACCCCCAATTGAAATTTACAAATCTATAAAAACAATTTTTGTTTCAGAAAAAACTCAGTCTTCGATGGCAAACAATAAACTGACCATCAGACATTCATAGCAACTGAAGAACAACTGGTAAGTTAATGACATCACAAAACAATAATAATAATAATAATAAAATTGAAATCTCCAACTTATAAAAAAAAAAGAACAATCGATTTATTCCACTTTCAAGTAAAACTCTTGTAAAAAATGGATTTCCACAAAGTCTTTCCATTCTCTTCCATTACTTCCACGTCATCGAGATTCCACAATACGTTTTTAAAATGGGATTTCAAGTGAAAATTAAAACCAGTTCGATTCATAAAAAACTTGAAATTTTTCTATAAAATGCGACTTTTTACAGTTTTAAGATTGTAAACGTAAGCCATTTATTCTCATTGTGAAACAAACCGAAACAAAGTTCCATTGACTCTGATTTTAAAACACAACTAGAGCTTCATTAGAATTTATTTAAGGACGAAACTGCAGAGGCGATAAGTCAGCGCCTAGAAAAGCAACAAGTTGAAGCCTTAAGAAGATGAAACGGACTTTAAATGACTTCGGACTTGACAGACTTTTGTTTAAATTTTACGATAAGTAAAGACAAGTTGTTAGCATGTGATTTAGTCTTACCGTGTCTGGTCGTCATTTTTCTCCTTCAGGGAGAACACGCTAATATTTTAAGTATGCATTTTGTTAAAGTAATCATTTAATCGATAATAACAGGGACGGATTTTGTTGCGAAATTCTAGTTTTCAACGATGTACTTCAAAAGGGAACACGTCTGAAATAAAAATATAGAATCATATTTTTAGGTATCGAGCTCGAAAGCTTCAATTTACGAGATTACTAGTTCTCGGCATACAGCGAAAATATCAGGTATGATGTTTTGAAATGAAAATTGGGCTTTTATATAGGATATAAAAGTGTCAGCGAAAAAACCAATTAAACGTGGTAAATTGTGCCAATTTTCTAATTAAACCTTGGGCGAAATCGGTTTGCAATAAAGACGACAAAAATCCTACATAATCTTGTTGTTTGGCTAAAGCCCTTAAACACGTGACTTGAATTTGAACAAATAAATCGTGAATTTCATTTATTTGTAAACTCTTCACCGACATCAGTTTGTATATTACAACTCCTCCTTTTGAATTTTGTGGCAAAATTCCATTAGCGACTCAGAAACTTGTTTACTCCGAGATTTCAACGTTTCTGATTGTGCTAGACTCATCAATTACTGTTTAGGAATTAGTAGTTTTGCGATGCGAGGAATAGGAGCATATAATTTTGGGGTTTCCATTGTTTCCGACGCGTGTCTCATTGTTTCCCCTCTCTCGAATTTAATTTACTTAATATTGTGTTGCGTCATGCATAATAAATTCTTCCGAGGGTGTCTATTGTCGTCAAGAATTTATAAATCTGTTCTATTTGAAGTAAAAACGCATTAGGGTTCTATTACTCAAGCTGCAAGAAAACTACTCTGACACGATTTTGGAACAAGAACGTAGTTTTCTTGTTGCAAGTCTCTCAAGACAAGTCCATATTTGGAAAGACATTGGCAGAGCTGAGAGCATGTTCAGAACTGCTTCTTATTTATACAAAGAACAACTAGGAAATTTAATGGTGACCCTGAGAGACACCAACCTGAATTTTGTGCGTTGAATAATACCAAATCAGGAACAGTCACCCTTAGTGCTATATCAGTTGAGGTGTAACGGTGTCCTAGAAGGTATTTTAAATATTTTTAAGTAATTCTTTCCATCGTTTGATTGGTTGACTTGGTATCATTAACATTTTTAGCAATTCCTGCACCTCCTCCTGTTAACGCACCTAATGCACATAGTCCGGTCAAGGTTTTCCCAATAGAATACCATTGCAAGAATTCATCATAGATGGCAAAAAAGCATGCGAAACTATAATCAAAAGCTTAGACTTGAACTCCAATTTGTTTAGGAGCTGCAAACCACCATTTCGGATTTGGAGGAAGAGGAAGGTTGGAAAATTTTGGAGGAACGCAGTAACGATTTGAGTCAAGCTTTGGTAGAAGTAGAAGCAAATACTTGTTCAAATTGAAAACGAAACATGAAGCCACCATAGCGAAACGCTTATCAAAAGACAGGAACCTGAAAGCCAGATCACTGAGCTGCAAGAAAACTTCGATGACGAGGAAAATCAAGGCAAATTGAAATAAAATTTGAAAACATAGACATAATTTTTCCATTCCAGGCTCTTATATTTTACTTTATATGGTATAATATTTAGAAGCAATTATTGATGATAAGAATTACCACAAAAATTTCGTCCCTTATTGAATCCGATACCAAAATAAACAAATTACGTTTATGTAAACAGTAAACCCGACACCCCTCCGACTCTGTTCTGTTAATGATTTAAATTTTAATGCAGTGTCTGGCGACAAGGGGGTTGACGTCCCCCCCCTTTTATACAGCGTCGTACGTGACTACCGGTCCGGGCCGCGTCTCCAGAGGAAACGCCGGAAATTGTGCGAGTTTTGGGGGAGAAAAGTCGGCCCCCTCGAGGGCTAACCGGCCCCATATACCTCCGCCTATTGTTGCAATGTGTCAGTAAAAATGTTTTCCAGCTGGATATGATGAATACAAAATTTACTGAAAAAGTACAATGGCTTTTTGGCTGCTGCCAAGTGCGATATTGAGTTTACCGCGCGTACGGGGGTGCGGTTTCCTTGGATAATAATGACTTGATAAGTATCTGCCACTCGATTTTTCGAACATTTATTATTCTGGCATTGGATCAAAAGTATATTATGCAAGAGACAGCTTTTATATAGTGAAAACTCGGTCCCAGAAAGATAAAAATGAAACATTACTAAGAAACGCCTTCCAGGCACCGAAGGAAACAATTTAGTATTTTTTTGTGCCTTACAGCTACAAAATATAAATAAATAAATCAGTCTTGCAGAAAGAAAGTTTTTATCCAGGCAGGAAGGAAATCAAGCCTTTTGAAACGCACCAAAACCAATACTCATACATAAATTTTAAACTCGGTTTAACCGTTTCCGGAGTATATCGATCCGAGAGGGTTTTGTCCCCGATTGAAAATGGTTTTGCCCCTGTTACGTTCAAATGGTGCAGTGCCGCTAAATTTCCCTCTAAATCGAAAATGTTTATTTCTGATGAAAAGGAAACAAAGTATTTCGAGGACGACGATCTTAGTTCGGGGACGCGAAATCGAAATCTGGTCGATAGTCTAAATATTGGCGCGACCCGATAAACTACCAATTTTGTTGCGGTCCGATTTTTCTTTTTTTGTCTAATGGGTTTGCACGTCAATTAAAAGCGATTGTTCGCGTTAATTAGAAAAACACAGAGCCGCATTTGCATACATGATTGACTTTTGCACGATTGGACTTTTCGATTTTTTGTATTAGTTCAAAAACGAATTATTTCTAGACCGGTATAGAAGTTATTTGGCTTAATTTCCTCTAAACATCATCGTGGTAACATTACAAAAGCCTGACCCAGGCTAGATCGGCTGAGGTGTAACGATGTTCTAAAAGGTATTTGTATTTTGTTGAATAATTTTTCACTCCTGGTAATGTATTATGATTATGACGTTGATTGGCTGGCTTATCAACAGTAGCAATTCCTGCAGCTCCTCCTCTTAACGCACCCAACGCACTTACTCCGGTGAAGGTTTTCCTAATAGAATACCATTGCAAGAATTTCATCACAGATGGTAAAAAAGTATGCGAAATTATGGTACACAGACTGGTCTCTGATGGGAGAGGGCTAATGTATATGAAGGGAGACCTGTGGCGAGAAACAGTCTTGGGTTGGGTTAATAATCAAAGGTATGAGATCTACGCCATACAGGTGTGTGTTCAGGAAATTAGTTACTCGGCAAGCCTATTTATATATGCAGCGACGGTCAAACAGCACTGAAGTTTTATTGTATGACAACTCTCAAGGGGTTTAATCTTGTTTGGGAGGAGGCAGACCAGCTGGCTGGTGAACTTAACAACACTGCCTTCATTGGGCACTTAGGGTTGCAAAACAATCCTTTGTCCCGTTCACAAGAAGCTAAATTTGAAAACCTCCAACTAACATTTTCCAACGAAGTGAAGTACTTAGGACCCTGGACCCTGGACCAAACACTCACTTGGAACAAACAGTTAGAGAAAACAGGCTCTTGAACTACATCAGCCATCTGGTCATGCCGAAAACTTGTTGGAAAAACATGGGGGCTAAAGCCAAAGATGGTATTCTGGATTTACCAAATTATAATAAAGCCCATAGTCACATATGCCTCATTGGTGTGGTGGCCCAAAACCCAGCAAGTCGCCGCTCAGATTAAGCTGAGAAAGGTACAAAGGCTGATATGTCTAGGAATAAAGGGAGCAATGTCAACTTGCCCTATCGCAGCCCTAGAGACATTACTCAATATGCATGCCCCCACTTCACATATGTGTGAAAAAGCAGGCAATAACAAGCGCAGTGTTGCCAGGTCATATTTTGTTTTGTCAGTAGATTACTAGTCTAAATATCAGTAAAAATCAGTAAACAGATAAGTCGCCTTGTTAAAGGGGTAAACCATTAGGGTATACTCAATTGTGTATTAAACTATGAAAACTTGTATTAGAAAGTTAAACACCAATACTACTTATGACAAGTAGTTTATTAAGATTTAAGACACATGAGATATTCCTATTATTATGCACTGCCTATGGTTCTATATTCTTGAAAAGTACAATTCTCCGATTCCAAAACTATATAATTTGTCTATATTTGGTTCGGCTGGCTCCAACATAATTTGGTTCTAAAAATTTTAAAAATACTATCAGAGAAACCAAATAACCTACCTCAAATTTTACCTGCAGCTTTCACCTGTACAGGTAAAATGGTTCACAAAATAAGTAGTAGGATAGTATTTTTACAATTTTTAGAGCCGAATATATGCGAGACTGTTCAATCAAATATAGACAAACTATATATTTTCGGAATAGGGGCATTGTGATCTTCAAAAATATACAATGAAATATAGGGCATCCCATTTGAAAAAAGGTACAAGCATGCAAAATTTCACATTTCTGACATTCAAATTTTATTTGTTTC